GATGGAAAATTTGCTCCAGCTGGATTTGCTCTTGGACCAATACAGAGTGGCTTCAGGGCATGCTATGCCTGATGACTTGGTGGTCTCAGCGGTGTTGAGGTGTGTTGAGCCGGCTGTTCGTCGGCACCTTGAACGGACTTTGGACGATTCAGTTGATTACAGCACTTTGAAAGAGAAGTTGATTTTGATGGACAAGAACTCCAGAGTTTGGTCAGGAGACACTTACCTCAAGCTTGTCCAGAACACCCTCGACTCCAACAGCGGACCAACACTCATGGAGGTTGACAGCGTGAACCAAGTTGGCAAGGGCAAGTACAAAGGTGGGGGCAAGAAAGGAAAGAGTAAGAAAGGCGGCTGGATTCCTTTTCCTTATGGTGGTGGAAAGACAGGCGGCAAATACCAAAAGGGCAAAGGTGGCAAGAAAGGTAAAGGAGGAAAGAAAGGGAAGAAAGGCAAAGGAAAGTTCTCCTGTGCTGGCAAAGGCAAGGGCGGCAGCAACTCTAACACTTGCCGCATTTGTGGACAACAGGGTCACTGGGGAAACGAATGCCCAAACCGGGCAAATGCTGTGACACAGTCTATGCCCCCAGGAAGTACAACAGGTGCTTCAGAGAGTGAGATTGCAAGCTCAACAGGTGGCAAACTTCGTGGAGGTGGCAGTTCTTCGACAGCTTCAACCATAGCAAGCAAGCAGGTGAGGCAGGTTCGACTTTATCATGTAGCGACTCCTCGAGAAGAGACCTCAAATCCAGTTCTGTACGATTTGCAGAGTGAAGGAGGTGACAGCTGGATTTACGATGACAACTACAAGGTCAATGTTGTGTCATTTTCGATAGCAGATGATTCAGAGGAGGAGCGATCAATGATTTGTCCAGGTGACAAGACCATGCAGTGGTTCTTTGACCTGCCAGTGCGACGTTATGTGATGGAGGAGATGGATTCTGAGAAGCCCACAGTTCTCTATGTGAACACGGTCACGACCAATGAAGAGAAGATGTTGACCGTCTTGGACTCAGGAGCAGACATCAGCCTGTTGCCCAAGACCATGGCTGATCGAGGAACAGCTCAAAGGTTAGGAAAAGCAGTGCTTGAAGATGCCCAAGGTTCCCAACTAGCAACATATGGCAGGAAGCTTGCGCAGATTGAGTGCGAGTCAGCTGACGGCTCAGTCATCATTGAGGACGACTTCATTGTAGCATCAGTTCAAACACCACTGGTGAGCATGTATGCTCCTGAACACCCAGGAGGAACACCGCAGCAAGAAGGCACAAGTCATGAACGTGGACGCAAGCATTCTGCTGAAGGAGAACTTGAGGAACAACCAGCAGAGAAGTATGTCCGCGTACCTCCACTACCTTTGGGCTTGGATGAAGAAAGTAAGAGTGTGGGCGAACGTGCACCAACGACTCCGGAACGCCCTCGTCCTACAGGTGAGCATGAACAGATGTTGGGTGACAGCGCGGTAGGAGAAAGCAGAACGAAAGCACCCAGAACAAGTCCAGCAGAAAGTCCTACGTCTTTGTATGCACCGCATTTTGCGGGTGGAATCCAACAGGTAGAGGATCGACCTGTGGATGAGTTCCAATGGGAGCAAGAGATCGCAGACTTTGAAGGTGATGAAGAGATGCTCTTGTTGGAAGAAGGACTTTTCTCAGATGAGGTGATTGATGAAGGGACTCCACCGGAGGTGGGGCCAATGGAGCTTGAGAAGATTGAGGCAGCTGCAGGACAAGAGGAGATACAAAGGCTGCTAGACATGGAGGTGCTGAAGGAGCCTAGTACCTCAGATTTGGAGAATGGAAGCATCCTCACGACAAGGTCTGTCTTTGACTGGCGAGTGCGAAATGGAAAATGGAAAAGGAGGTGCCGGTTTGTGGCCCGAGAATTCCGAGGCCATGATCAGACAACCTCAGAGACTTTTGCTCCAACCTCGAGTTTGGCGGCTACAAGGCTTCTGTTGGCGACTCATGCAATTTTGCAATGGAAGTTGAGCTTCATCGATGTCAAAGATGCCTTTTTGTTGGTTCCTCAAACCAAGCTGGTGTTGGTGGAACAGCCTGCCTGGTGGAAGCCTGAGGAGCTTGAAGGTGCGTCAAATGGAGCAAAGAGGTATTGGAGGTTAGCTCGATGTTTGCCAGGCCAACGTGATGCAGCGTCACGATGGTTTGACTACCTGAAGGTTGCTCTCGAAGAGTTGGGGATGGAAAATCATCTATCCCTACCTTCGCTTTTCCGGCACAGAGAAAAGAGCTTGGGCATGGTATGCCATGTAGATGACCTGATAGTGGCAGGATTGGCAGATGATTTGACATGGTTCTTGGACAAGATGAGAAGCAGGTTCGTGATCAGTGAATCAGGCACACTCCCACAGCTTGATCAGGAAGTCAGAGAACCTGTTCGCTGCCTAAAGAAACGCCACTACTTCACCTCTGAAGGCATCGTTATTGCACCGCATGAGAAGTATGCGCCAGGCCTCATTGAGCTGTACAACCTGTCTCAGAGGGCAGGCAAGTCGACGCCAGAAAGCACCCAGATGGACCTGGAGGGCTCGCCTGAAGATGTGCTGACAGGTGGGGATCAACATCGATTCCGTTCAGCTCTTGGAACGCTTTTGTACATCTCTCAGGACAGGATCGACATTCAGCACTGTGTCCAAAATTTGAGCCAGTTCATGGCTAATCCCACAAAGAAAGCAGAGAATGAATTGAAACACCTCATTCTCTACCTCAAGAGGACAGAACAGTACGGGATTTTGCTTCCCTACACGAAGTACAAGAGCAAGAAAGCCGAGCGAGACAGTTTGGACGACGTTGATGAGTTAGAGAGTTGGAGTGACAGTGACTGGGCAGGAGATAGGTCTTCACAGAAACGGAGAAGGCACAGTGTGAGCAGCGTGATGATCTTCCTGAATGGATGTTTGATTGCAGCCTGGTCGAGGTCACAGAAGAGCATAGCTCTATCTTCATGTGAGGCTGAGTTTCTTGCATCTGCAGGTGGGGCTGCCGAAGCATTGCAGTTGAAGGAGCTGTGGCAATTCCTAACAGCAAGAGAGGTGATGATTAGGACAATCACTGACAGCTCATCATGCAGAGCTTTCACAGAAAGGCTCGGTGCCGGTCGCCTCAAACACATCGACGCAAGATACTTGTGGATGCAACTAGAGGTCAAGAAGAAAACCCTCAGAATGGAAGGTATTCCTACCCTGTGGAACATGGCTGATTTGGGCACCAAGCGTTTGTCACGCCAGAGAAGAGAGTTCTTGATGTACTTGATAGGGGTGATGGAGATGAACGTGGAAGGCGCCGAGCAGTTCTTTTGCCATGTGGGTGAAGAGACTTTCCATGAGGAGGTGAGAAAGAAGAACTTGGCCTTGAAGATGAAAGAGGTGAGGAGCGAGATGATTTCCGCCTTGGTAGAGGAGAAGAGCGAGACAAAAGTAAAGATTTCAAAGTCAATGGTGAAGATGGTGACTTTGCTTCTTCTCAGTCCCGGAGCCTATGGACAACAAGAAAATGAAAGTGAAGAGAATTTCACGGCTGACGAGAACAAGAGCCAGACTTTTCAAGTCTTTAGATGGCTGACCTACATCCTGGTGTTTGTCAGTTACACTATTCTTGCGATTGGTTTTAGCATGTGGGTTGGCTACACCAAGTGGAAGATGATTTCCAGATGGCTCAGAAAGGTCAAGCCCTACATACAAGGTGACTGGTTTGTTGACTTCTACAGAGATGAGGACCAGCGACCGACAAGATCAGGGCTAGACATGAGAGAATGGGCTGTGAGAGCTTCTGTTGAAGCAACAGGTGGTGAGTGGATTCGTGAGCCACCACCTGCACTACCAGAACCTTTCAGAAGGAGACGTGGAGGCTCAAGAGTTGGAAGACAACGTGAAGGTCCAGAAGGAAGCTTTGCTGAGGAAGAAGAAGTTTCTCAGTCAAGCAGAGGACGGCGCAGACCAAGAGAAGGTGAAGGAGAGGAAGAAGAAGAGAGAAGTCGCAGCCGAGATGATGTGACAGTAGAGCAGTACCTTACAGATTGGGACCCGGCGCTGCAAAGATTGCACCGTACCGGATTTTGAATTCCGGTAGTGATGCTGAAAGTGGAGAAGAATTTTTCGTGCTTAGCCCAACTCATGGGTACAGGAGACAGTACCGGCCTACAGCTTCAGAGAGAGATGAGGAGGCCGGAGTAGAAGACATGGAAGTTGATGGAGGCAATGCAGCCTACCGCGATGTGCCTGTAGAAGAAGGCGCAACTTTGCCAGATGATGACTACCTATGGGAAGCTTATGAGAGGGATGAGCCACCCGAAGCCCTTGATTGGAGCAAACTTGAAAACTGCGTTCGATATTTGAACGAAGATGAAGAAAGGAGAGCTCGAAGATTGCTGGCAACAGGTTTGTTCTCAAGAGAGCAGTTCACTCAATACGTGCAGGCAAGGCTGACCTGCAAGTTTGGAGAGTGGTACCCATTCCTGAGGCTTGACCATGCCTTGGGATGGGATGATGAGTACAAAAGAGGCTTTTCAGCCTGGTGCGTGGCAGTGATGTCACGGCAATGGGAGGGCAACTGGTGCGAACGTGTGGCCAGATACGCGATGGAAGGTGAGATTTGAAAAAGATTGCACCAGAGCGGCTGCAACTTTTTAGGTGGGGTGACAGAACTTTTCACCACATGCACACACGCCAGACTACAGATTTGATCCGTGGCCAAAGTGGCCCAAGCCTGCTTCGTGAAAAGAAGCGCGACGCCGTTTTTGTCATTGTTTCATCAAATTGTGCAGTGCAGCTACTTGGCAGTACCGGCAAATGTGTCTTTGGCCAACATGTGCGTTCTGAAGAGGGGCTGTAAAATATCAACGTTTAAGCTGTTTGCATCCCTTCATGTCAGCCATGTTACCATGTTGCAGCAAACCGCGATCGAGGGGTACAGATTTCATCCCCAAGTTGTGGGAACTGAAATTAAGGCCGAGGTCTGAGGGTTCGGACTTTTGGCATTCAGGCACCACAGCATCTTCCGCGGCAGGCCGTTCCTTTTGGCTGCTAATGCGCAACACTAGTTGATGCTCATGGCCTGAAGCCTGTCCAGGTTGAGGTTTCTGTAGAGCTAAGTGGCTTGGGGTCCCTTCCAGATGGAGAGGTGCTGGTTGCTCGTTCTGAGAAGCATTCTCCAGCGGCAGTCCATATTTTACTTTGCACATGCCTTGCCATTTCAAACGGACTCCGGCAAGTTGAGATATCAAGATGTCGTTGGTAGAAAGGGTCCAAACAGGATGTTTAAATGAAGGATCATTTTTGGATTCATGTCCTGTGCTGAGAGTTGCCTCGGATTCTCCAACAGGTGTTTGTGCAGGTTAGACGAACAGCAACAATGCGGGAGGCACAGCTTGCAACGTTAAAGGTGCTCGCAGCTTGAGTAGACGCACTTCATGTATGAGTCTTGGATTTTGGCAGGTGAGAGAAGCTGTGGCATGGCAAGTTTTGACGAATCAGGCCATTGTAGACTTGGTCTCCTTATGACCCAAATCTATCGACATCACAAGGCTGAAACCATCATGCCCAGTGCCACCAAAGTCTCAGAGGTGCGCTGACGGATCAAACTTTATCGGACTTGCACATGTTCTTTCCAGAAGCCTCAGGTCTACCAATCCCGTTGAATGTTGAATCGCTGTTCATCGCAGACATGCACTGGATTTTATCATTCCTTGCCGTTTCTAGACTTGGTGGAAAGTAGTTGCAATTGTAGGCATTGTGGTCCCTTCCCAGCCTCGGGAATTCCCTATGTTTTGAATATTTCCTATTGCATGTCGTTCTATTCTCTTGGACACCACACAACATTGTCATCGGTTTCACAACACCGACGTCAACCGTTAGCATCTTCCTCGTCATGACACAACTATCTTCGCCATCATCACATCATTACATCGTCAGCTTTGACATCACCCACCATCACCACCACAACATCATCATCGTCGTCATCGTTATCGTCATCGTCATGATGTTTGTCATCCAATCAGAGTTCCACAGACTAAACATGGCGTTGCGGGTACATCCACAGAAGAAACCGGTGTGAGTGTGCGGATTGGCCGTGTTTGCTATGTTATTGTATTCTGACTAACGCCTCACATGAAACAACACTTCGGTGAAAGTTCCGAGGGCGGCAAAGGGGCAACCTTACACAGTAATGCCTTGGAATTCACGTATTATTATCGTATAACTTACAGGCGGCAAACCCAAGACATTGTCAGTCTTAGGCAGCTTTGGCCGCAGCTTTGACTCAAGAGGGGGCGGGGGAAAGCGTGGCTGATCCCACGCCATGGCGCTGGTCATGCCCTCATTCAGATTGTTGGGATATGTTGGGATCCAGAGAGCACAATTCTTCGCCTTGCTTGCCAAGCAGTATTCTCAGGCAGTCCGCCAGCCTGGCACGGACCGCTCTCAGAGTGTCCAGCAAGCCATCACAAGGTCCTTTCGACATGGTTCATGTGTGTCTATGTGAGTTTGGCTCACACCATGCTGAGCCGGCAAAACATGTTCCTGATAGGATTTAGCCGGCTAAGCGGCAAGTGACCAGTGACCGTTGTGTTTCTTGTTGCCTTTGCCGGCTTGTTTTGGCAGCGGTGCTGTCAGGGAGGGGCTTTCCTACGAATTGAGCAACAAAACCGAGGAGCAAAAGGCAGTGATTGGTGCATTTTTAATGAATCAACCATCATCAACCGATGTTCAGTCTTCTGGTAATTCTTGTCACAGAGGCTTTGGCCATCACTGAGCTGGCTTCAAAGGCAGCAGTTCTAGACCTTGCTATGATCTCGCACCATTGGGAGTTCGGTGATCTAGCATGCAACACGAAAGAAACTCAAACAGCTCCACCAAGGGGGAGTCCTTCGTGGTGAATCATCTGGTCCAGAGCTTTGAGATCCAACAATTACAAGAATGTTTTTCTATGTTGTTTTTTCTACGATGAAGCAACATATCCTTTTGATCAATGTTTTGCACAGAATCGATGACATTTCTCAGACGGCTCCTTGTCAGAATGCCAGAAACCGAAACCTTATCATGATCTTTGAATGCCTGGTTTCTGGAGGACCACATTGTAGCAGAGCTCAGACGAAGCTACAGTCCAGATGTCAAAGAAGCAGCCACATGCCAAGTCCAAGTTGAGCAAGAAAGATTGGGATGACCGTTGAGACAAACAGTGAACCTTGTGAAACATTGACAGGTTTGCAAGAGTATCATGGCGGCCGGGGCGTCTGCTGCTCCTTTCTATCAGGTGTCTTGTTGCACAACATTTGAGGATACATTATGTATTTTGAGGAATTTGGTGAATCGTTAATTAACGATGATATGTTTGTCAAGTCCTGCTCAGTGATGCTTCCACTTGCGTCCATGACATGAGGACCTTGTGAATTTGATCAACGATCAAGACCCACAGGCCCTTCTGACCTTTTATTGCTTGTGATCTAACCCTGAGCTCATGCAACCTGCAGGTCAGATATTGGGGCTGCTTGGCCATTGGATCTATCGGTAGCACAGCCATAGGCCGGGAACATGGACTGCGCTCAAAAAGCCCTACTCAAAAAATATAGATAAACGTAAACTTTTAAGGCTGTAGATGTGTTTTTAAGTTTTCGTTTAGAAGCGGGCCCCCAGCAGAATATGGTGATACAGCAAGGCAGCGCTAGATTGGCGCTAGGTTGGCGCTAGGTTTCTTCATAACAGGATAGCAAGCAGGAAAAAGAAGAAACAAGCAGAGAGCAGGAAACAGAAGAAGCAAGACAAGAAAAAAGAAAAGCCAAGAAGAAGAAGAAGAGGAATGCACAACAAGAAGAAGACAAGCAAGCAGGAAAAATAAGAATCTGACACAGGATAAAGAAATCGACGGAGATTTTTGCGCTAGGCTGGCGCTAGATCCGCGCTAGCACCGCGCTAGACGACGGTCCATTTCTTGACCATTTGCCCATCCAACATCCAAATCTTTTGAGTCAGCTCTTACGTCCTTCCTAATTATGTCGTTCTGAAGCTTTCTGAGAACACAAAGTGGAAACAACTGCAGGAGGCCAGCAGCAGCAGCAGCAGCAACAGCTCCAGCATCTCAGCAGTCCGCGCTAGAACTCTCACAGTTTTTGCCGTTCACACGCCTTCATGTTTAACATCCCTGTGGTTTGAGTGTGGTTGAAGTTTAAAGGAGATTTAGAAGCGGGCCCCCATGGAATTGCGACGAGTGCACCATTTTGGGAAAAAAACATTTTGGAAACCAACCACATGTGCTTCTACCCTTTTTGTTGCATGAATGTTTATGCCAGGATCGAAGGACAGGATTCGACTCCTTCTCCAAGATCCATCAGAAGCTGTGAGATTTGGTGCTTGTTCAGCCTTGGGCGGGCTAGAGGCGGTTTGCTTCGATGTGGTTTCTATTGTCGAATGCCAATGCCACTCTGCGAGTGCTACTCAACAGACAATTTCAAGAATCAATACCTTTATGCCTTTATATTAAGTTCTTCAAAATGCATCCAGCGTCACCTTTGGGATGCCTTGGGCCGCCTTGGGGTGTCATGGCTGCCAATCTACGTGATGACAGGACCAAGCTGAGATGACCACAAAATAGACTTCGTTCTACTGTTTTGTCCTTCCCGCAGGCAGAAGACTGCGTAGAGGATCTGAGGCAAACACTCAACGTGCCACTGCAGCATATGGCAAAGGGTTGCAAAGGGTTGCTGGGAGTCACTCAGTTCTTATGTCAAGGATGCTTCGCCCGAAGTTCAAGGTGCAGCTTGTTTGGCTCTGGCGTGGACTCGGCATGCTTTCGTCATGCTTGAATGTCGTCATGTTGTGTTTGATCTTCACCTTGAGCCGGCCAGTTCATTTGCTCTCCAGTGTGCTTTATATGCAGGAAGGTTGGCGCTGCTGGTGCAGCATTTGCCCCTGCTGTGGCACAAAAGTTCAAAGCTCGGAAAAATATACATGAAACACGTTGTTTGATATTGATTGATATGTTGACTATATATATTTGATACACTATGTTACACTTATGTAAATTCATTCGACGTGTGTGCCTTTAGTGCGTCCCGATGCCCTGTGTGAAAACAACAAAACAAGAACCCTGCATTGCTGCCGGACAGCCGGATGCCCTTTTCTAGGCTTTCGTTTCCGCTTGATTGCTTGCCTACTTGCCTGCAATCTCTCTCTCTCTTTCTTTGGCCGTCGTCGTCAACGATTTGTGTGTGTTCCAGCCAGCATCACGCAACCCTCGCATTTTCAGCTGTGGTAGAGCTTGCTCAACGATGCTCAACGGGAGCTTATGAGGAGCCGGATTTCACAAGTGGCGCAGTTGCAATCTGCATAACTGGGAAAAATACTTCCAAATGTGTTCGAACAAGATCTCAAAAGTCAGCACACTTGGAAAAGATGTGGAATTTTGGTGTTCATCCACATTTGTTAGTTATGCGACTGTCCATTTGTGTCCTAATATTGTTTTGTAGCATCCTACTTACAGAGTACAGACATTACTGTAATTTAGTAATATCAGATCATTTCTTTTGCTCTATAGAACACAAGCCAAATCGCACAGAACTCCGCCCCCAAACTTCCCCAGCCCTGGAGCGTGCCCACAGCGATTGTGTTTCGTGGGCTCGCCACTCCGGATATATAGGCTTGGAGAAATGATTGCACAATCTGGATTTGGTACGGCAGTCCAGTAGTTGCGGATGAAGTTGGGAGAGGATGCAGTGCATTTTCTACCACTGCTATCAAAGGGGTTGCAATCGGCAGTTTCTTGTCGATAGGTATGCACCCTGAACAAGTCTTAGACTATGATGGACTTCTACAAATTACCAAACTTTCTTCAAAGCTGTTTGTATTTGGCTGATGCGTGTTCCAGAGGCAATGCATGTTTGCGGTTTTGCGCTTCAGTACTTTAATTCCAGACCTTTGAAGGTTCATCGTAAAAGTTCCAGACCCAGCCTTTCTCTTGCATGGGTACATCCTTGTTGATCTTGGCAAGGCAAAAGGGATCATCAAGATCCAAACTGAACATCTTACTCCATCTTACTGTAGATGGAATTGCTTGACCGTACTTTCGTGTCAGGCCATGTTAGACCTGTCGTGCTTGACCCCTCCGTCAAGGTTTGACATTGTTTCAACAGTGGTGACATCTAGGTTGTGGAATTGCAACATTGGTATTTGCCCTAACTTGCAAGATGCACGGGATGCACCCATCCACATATGCTGACACTTTCTCATTTTTCACTGAATGGGCTGGGCTGGCGGCAGTATGTGTGATCCTAGCAAATGTCTCATCCGATCAAAACAACGCAGGTACACTCATGACTTCATGTACCACTGCATGCACATCACAGAGGCCTGCTGCCTACTAGCCTGAGGTTGGCCGATCCACGGTCCCGCTTGAATGCACTGAAAGCACTTGGCCTCATGGGCCTTGCAGGCTGGGCAGAAGGCATATTTTTCGTTTTTATCACAAGCTGCTTTATGTCGGTTCGAGTCGGTTCCTGCATCCATTTGTATCTCCGTGTGCATTTTCACTAGGAATTCTGCAGGCTTCTATCATTTTCGAAGTGAGATGTCC